AGTTGCTCCTTGCAGCTTTGTCCATATGTCCAAAATACACTAGTCTACCAAAGGACTACTTAGTGAATTCAAGTAAGAAAACAGGCAAGAGGAAGATGTAAAGACAAAGTAATTTGAGGAGCTTTCAAATATTTGCTGTTCATGTATTGTCCATTTTTCTTTTCTCCATTGTACGACTGGACCAACTGCTCAGAGAGTCTCAAACGTCATGTGAATATTTTAAGATTTGGTTGTCCTGCAGCATTTTCTTTCCAGGGAAGGAACTTGACTGTCTTGTTTAGTTCTTAGCACACTTACATACTTGCATGATTTATAGGTGGCCTTTCAACTTTTTTATGCTAGAAATATTGATCTCTTATTTGAGCGTGTAAGTACAAATTCCTAAATTTGAAGAGAAGTGATGTAAGTTTTTGCACTCCGTGGTAGGAAACAGGAATGTTACAACTTTTCAGTTAGGGAGAACCATAAAGAGACATTGTAGAGCAAAATTTGGTTGGTGGCAAAATTAATTTGATGTAGAAGAATAAAGTTGATGAAATAGGTAATGGTGAACATTCAAAATCTAGAAGAGTGGACCCCAAGCTTTCTTGCATTGTTAGGTACAATTATCAAAATACTCTGTTAATCACTATGTTACTGATGTATGATCAGACATTTAACGTGGAGCATTTGAACAGTAATATGGTTCTACAGGAGCAGTAATTTCTTAAGTGTTAATTAAAACAATGGGCAGTTTGTCTATATGATAATTTCACTTCAGTGTAAAATTATAGCTTTCTTTCTTTAAGATTCATGGTTCATTCAAATTTCGATCAAGAAAGTAGAGGCCGTGGGATGGAGTAGGGGACAAGGCTGTCAGGTTTGGTGGTGGAATGAATGCCTGTGGGTGACTGCATTCATAACCACACACAGTTATGACTGGTAGGGAATGGTGCCGGATGGCCACAGCGGGACAGAAATGTGAGTATGGCCTTGGGTACATTAAAAAGACTGAAAACTTTGTGCATAAAGCAAAATGTGAGGGCATGTCAGATTAACCAAATTCGATATTCCTTCTCCCATTTATTAAAGAAAAATGAGTCAAGTATTAAGAGGCTGTTGTAAAAGGCATTGGGATTTGTACAGGCAGATTGAAAGAACTGGCTTTTTGCAAATGTGGGAAGCACTGCTGCTACTTGTACTTTAAAAAGAAAAAGACACAAATACCAATGATTCAATTACAGTAACATCACACTTGTGCTGGCAGACTGAGGGTAAAGGAAAAATTATCTTTAATATCAGACTCTACATCCAATTATATATGCACTGTGTAAAATAAAATCACTCCATTTAACATGGTCGTACCAATTCAGACTTCCATGGTAGAATCTAGTGTCTGGTTTTCTCTTCTGGGAAATGGAAAATAACACTTACTTAATTGCAACAGTTAGTTATTGTTTAGTGAAAATTTGTTTGTAGAGATCTGATTTTTCTTTCTTAATTTTCAAGTGGACTATCTTTGTGGTGTTCACTGAATTCTCAAATTCTTACTTGTGATCTTTAAATTAAATGGCTAAATGGCCTGTTACAGGCTTCTGTCTGCTGTAGTTGCTTCCCCCCTCCACTCCATCTCTGGGTCGTAGATGGATGCGGCATACCTTGGGCGTGAATTGGATAGAGAATCTGTTAGAGAAAACACTTTTTGCATTCACTATTGTGTCTGTACCTCCGAAAGCATTTTTGCCTTCATTGACCCAAACCATGTCTGAAGACATCTGCATCGGACTATTGATCGTAGAAAAGGAAGCACATGTTATCTCTGTAAAATTTAAATCTAATTTGTTTAAGATTTTCTCTCCTGTTGCTTCATTGCTTAGGAGGACTTTATGATAGTAAAAATACAATTGAAAGCTTCTAGTGACAAACACAATGTTTTACAGCATACTGAGAATTTGTTACGATGTTGCTTCACTTCCTCGCCTTGTTGTGTGATGGCAAACATAGTGTTTTGAAGGGACTTTGCAAGTTTTAAAGTTTGTATCTTTGCTTTCATCTGATAGTTAGAAAAAGTTATGTTTTGTGGTTTTTTTACTTGGAATGCTTTTTTTAAAAAAAACAAATGATAATGCCAAATGTTAAATTACCTGTAGATAGTCACGTTATGCATGTTTTCACAAGCTGGACGTTTTTGATAGTTGAAGTTGTTTCTCATTTAATTTCACAACATTTTGAGGGTTTTGGTTTCATAGGTTTTGCTGCAGTGATCATTAAATCTGCTACTGTGTTGGGTGAACCTGGAGACTTAAGCTTTTATGTAAGATAGTAAGGCTTCACTTGGGTACTGTCCTGTGTTACAAAATGAGGTTTTCAGTCAACAAAGATCTGAATTATTTTGAGGAGCTCATTGCTTTGTTAGGTAGTTCTTATAACTTCACTGAGTGAACAGCATAGATGATGGAAAGTGGTCAAGAAAACAGTGAGTTTGATTTTTGAAGTGTGAAATGTGTATGGACTGGAACTTACTCAGATTTGAACTAAAGCTTTACCTTTTTTTCAGCATTAATAAAGTTTAAATCTGTTGGTTTTTGCAATAGCCTGCATTTTTGTCTTTTTACTGTGTTTTACCCCAAATTTCACCAGCTTTAATGAAGCTCAGCCTTGTCCAGTCTTGTTTCCTATCATATTCTAAACAAAACGAAACATGTAAAGGGAGTTCTGCCACAAAACTGAAATGATCAGTGCTGGGCCAGGCTACTTTAGAATGATTGAATATTGTAAATTCATAATGATGTTAAGTATCTCATCTTTCTGGAACAGGACTTCAGCTATGCTGTTTCATCACTGATTTGGTGGGTAAGGCTGGAAAAGGGTATTTTTACAGAAAATGCTTTTCATATACATTTCCTTGATAGTGTTTAAACTTTTTCTGTATAGTTTTGGTTCTAAAAGCAGTTTGATGCTATTTTCTGACTGCTTGATGAAGTGTTTAAAATTTCGGTAAGAAATTGTGTTGCAAGTTCAAGGACAAAGTTGCGTACAGAACAATTTCGTAAGAGAGCGCAAGTCACGGTAGTTGATGACTCTTGAGCAGTAAGTAGTAACAGGTTGTGATAGAATAGACACAAGACACCAGGTGTTACACTGTGAGATGGTAAAGGTACATGCTCCAGAGTACAGCTGGCATTGGTGCAGTAAGGGCAAAATTTTGTTTCTAACCAAAGTTCTTGCACTGGCAGAACTGTGTCTGTGGCAGTTGAAACACAGCTCTGCCTTTTCTGTTTATGTTTGCTTGGGGTAGTTACAAGCTAAGGCTGGGAGTCATTTGTTCACAGACTCATTATTATTGTTGATGTCATCATGTTTTGAATCAAGACTGTTTACCATGTGAATTAGGATGCTGTTGTCATAGATGTTGTAAAGTTGTCTTTGGGACCTTAGTCTTTGATGTTTTTGAAGGAAGGTGGGGGAAGTAAGCATCGAAAAGCCTGCAGTGGTCTTACATATAACTTTCTAATGCCTTCTTCCTCTTACTTTCCAAAGGGCTTTAACTTGATAGATTCAAACACTAAAGAGTACATTCTGTAGAAACTGAAAAATTGGGGCTTATTGAGAAGAGAATCTGATAAGTTGGCTACAAAGGATCCCACATACTGAGTACTACTCAGTAGCGATTCCTTCTTTACCAGAGGTTTGCTACCAGTACTTCTGGAGGCTGACTCCAGGCTTGATCTATGTGTGTAAGAGAGAAAAACTGTACTTGAGAAGAAGTAAGTCAAGTCTTACGTATCTTAGGTTTGTTAATTCTTATTGTAGCTACATCATTTAGAAGCACAAATTTGAGGCCCCGCTAATGTATTGTTTTAAACCTATTCAGGAAAATGTATACTCAAGCAATGTTTTTGTACTACTTCAGTTATGAGAGTTGTGGGTGCTAATGTTTTTTGGGTTTTGTTTTGGTTTTTTTTTCCATGGTGTTCATGAGTAACGCCTGCAGAATGGTTGCCTAATTAAGCTATATGTGTTAGCAGTCTAGTATTTGAATCACCAAGATGTTTTGAGATCTCTTAAAGATTCAATAGCATATTATTGGTATGCTACAAATAAAGCGTTCAGGAGTCAAATACTGGAGAAAAGATCAAGGATTACCTGTGGTCTTTAGTTTGACCTAGCATTTCATCATGATAGTGATATTCTGACATGAACTAGGGTAGTAGCAAAAGGATTGGGACAGACCAGACAGAAGGAGATGGGTACTTTTAGGAAAGAGAAATAATGGAAGTGGTGTCCTCTGAAAAATAAAATCTGAGGATCACTGAATGAATTTGCTTATCTTAAAGGAATTCTGGACAAAAAGATGTAAAATGTAGGTATCGCTGGACTTTGTAAAAGCCAGATGGGCAAGTTTAATCTGGGTGGAAGTACTGTGGAGCTGGGTGAGAAGTTGATCATTATGTGTAGAAGGAACATCTAGTACTGCCTCAAAAGCAGAACATTTACTGTATGTGCTGATGCTGACTCAAAGGAAGAAAACACTTAGACTCTCTGGTTCTTGACAGAACGTCAGAGTTCTAAAGTTCTTCAACTTGCATGTGAATGTTATAAATAAAACTCCATCAGGATAAAATATTTTGCTAGAAGTTATTTCTAGCATTTTTTTAAAGAGCTTTCTAATTATAAAGATTTAATTCCTGAATTTACAAATGGAGAACAGGAATTAAAACCGATGATATTTCATGCTAAAAAGGGAGATACTTTTTGAACTTGCCATTCTTCAACTTCTGATATAATGTATTGGTCGTCTTGCAAAACTGTTCTTGCCCATTGTGATTAGTGGGATCTTTAATTGCCCACAGTTGAAGTCCTTGTTGGTAGGAGATGCTGATAATGGTTAGCAGACAAGACAGAAAAACGTTCTGCATTTTGCAAACCTGATGAATACAAGTGCATTACCATGAAATAATTGGTACTGTAGGAAGTAGTAGCATGCCAATAATTAACTTGTATGTCTTCTTCCATTTAAGGTATCTAGTGGATAGTCGCTGGTTCAAACAGTGGAAAAAATATGTTGGTTTTGACAGCTGGGACAAATACCAGATGGGAGATCAGAATGTGTACCCTGGTCCTATTGATAATTCTGGACTTCTCAAAGGTAACTGCTTCTGATTCTGTAATAAGCCAATACTAACATTTAGTGCAAATTTGTCACAGATTGTTCATCTTTTGTAGTTGATAGTGTAAATGAATCTGCATCTGTGAAGGTGAAACTTTTTGTTTTCAGACCGTGACAAGGGAACTAGAATAGATTTCCCAACAAGTTACAATTTTATAAATAAAATTATTGGAACTTCTTTGCAGTGGTGACAGAATATTTAATACTGTACAAGTTACTTGTTTATAATGATATTTTGGAATACCTTAGGAGTTGAAATTTAGTAAAATTGACAAATAGCTAGCTCAACTGAATTGGTTGATTTAAAATAACAATTTTAAGTTGAACTCTAAAGTTTCTTTTTGTAAATGAGCCCCATGACCTTACTCCGATTGTGGATAATACCGGTTGTGGATTGTGTTCAGTGATAATATAAAGCGGTGTGGACACAGGTCTCAGAATACTTTCCCAAATATTTTAACTTTTCGGTTAAATTCTAGATTTAATTTCCAGTATTCAGACACCATTAGAGCCATTAATATTTAATCTGCAAAATCTAGTGCATACAAAATCTAGCGGATAATTCGTTTTCTTCTTTGCAGTTACAGGTAATGTACTAGTACTGTACAATTTGTTTGCACATAGTAATACAAATTTTTACAACTTCATGGGGTTTATGATGAACTCTGACTTTCTTCATTCAAAACTTACTCAACTATAATTAGTATCTCATTATTTTACAAGTTAAATGTTAGAGGTAATTGCCTCTTTCATAGGACTTGTCATACCATGTTGCGCTAGCTGTCAGTGTGAGTGTGCATGTCTGACAGTGACTAGCATCAGTGCCCTTGAAGAAGGTGCTGTATTGTCTTATGCATCTATGTGTTCTCTTCCATCCACAAACTTAAAGGTCTTTTTGCTCCAGGTGAGTGATGTGTTTTGTTTTCTGAAATGTGAGCATCTAGATGTTTTGTATGTTCTTGTAGTAAATCTTGCAGTGAGGTGGGCATGTTCAGGTGATACTTTTCTTGTGAGTTGAAATCAGATGTAGCAAGACCTTTTTTATCCTCAGTGAGGCAGCATCAGTTTATTCTCTCTTCTGTGTCAACCCACTTGAAAAAAAAAAAGTTATTTCGAGGTGTGCAACGCACTGTGTTAGTTGATCTGTATTATTTATAACTTAATCTATGTAAATACTCAGATTATGTTTAAAGTTACTGTGGGTATGAAGTCTATATTAGGGTTATCTGTCAAAATCTGAAGTGATGTTAGCTATTTTGCTAAAAGCTCATGAAAACCTGTATTCTATCATTTTGGCACTGTCAATACCCTTTTCAAAATAAACACAGCATTGAGGTTTATGAACTTCACTTTTTGCACGTTCATGGTTCTAAAACTATGGCTCTGCAGTGGCAGTGATACCATGCGACCAATTACTGTCTGACATCTACTGTTCCTGTGTGAAGGCAATTTTAAAATTAAAGGCATTAGTGCTCAGCAAATGGTAGCTGTCTCTTTCACCTGCTGCAAAGCAGCAGTCCTCTGTACTAGGTTTCCTATGTAGCATAAATTGAACCTGAAAATGCTTGGGTTTTAATCCTGTCTTTGGCACGTAGTATGCATTAGTTGCTCTCATACTGCTTTCCTTAAGTGAAAATTTGCATCTAATTTAAAGAATAAAATATTCTAAAATGGGCATGCTTTCTCAGATATTCTGCAGTGTAATGCAGTGAGAAGGAAAACTATTATTAAATTCCAGAAAGACTAGTTCCAGGAAACTGAAGCACTATGTTGTGCTTATATTAATTAAATGCTGTTCCCTTATTTCCAGAACATTTGAATGAAGTGAGAGTAGTGAAAAGGAGCAGGTAGAGGTTTCAGTTAATCCCAACATATGCGAAAAACATTGCTGAATGTAATGGAATGCGCACAGGCCATCTTCAAATGAAGAGATACATAGTCAACTTCAGATTAGCAAAGCAAGCACAAGAAAGTAGTCATTTAGAATAGTTGATGGTCATAGAAAACAGTGTTGCATATGAGGGACTGAGTTGTCAGAGTCAGGGGACTTGCTTGGTGGAATAAGGTTCTGAAAAACTGTTCTAGAAGAAATGTTGGGGGTTTTGGAAAGACAGAATGGAATCCAAATTATATCTTGTCACTATAAACTCCTGTAGCAATATCAGATCAGTGCAGAAATACAGTATGAACCTTTTAAAGAGATACATGGACCTGAAGTTGTGTTTGTGGATTTTTCCTCACACTTTGCTCCCAGTTACAGTGGAACCACCGTATGCATAGTGTTGTGTGGGCCAAGTAAGAACTGATAGTGCAAGTCATGAGTTATTTCAGGAAATGTTTCCTGTATGTAGCTCTTGAATACAGATTTTTTTTTTTTCCTCATCAGTCAAGACAGTTTTGAACCAAAGTTTGACTCTTGAAAATTGTTACTTTCACAGCTAGGATGAAACAACCTGAGGGGAAAAAAAGGAAGGTACCTTTTAAACAGGTGCATTGGGTTGAATTCTCATTTATTAGGTTGCATTAATTATATTTATCTCCATGAAGAACTGAATTCTTGTTTGTCTGTCTGTTCACTGAGAAATTCATGTGAAATTCCGTTTTACTTTTTGCTGAAGAAATGTATGTATTATGGCTCCCGAAGTGGAATCCAAAGCCTGAGGTTTTCTTCCACTTTCTTTTATTGCCTTCTGTGTTGTGCTTGTGTTTTTGCTTGATAAAATTGCAAGAAATACTTAGGCTGATTCTGAACTTGATTATCCCCTCTTTCTAAAATAATTTCATAATTCTAATACTTAGCTGGCTGTACTTTGGAGGTTTTGTTGTTGTGAGGGTTTTTATATTTAGCTCTTCCTACGAAATCATTTACGATTTTTATAAGGGTGCCTTTTTTAATGCTCAGGATAGATTTTTTTTAAAATTTTTTTTTTTGTATTGAAGTCACATTATGTTGTGTTTGCTCAATCTGTACAAAGGAGAAACGAGAAATACAGAAATAAGATCTAATGAGAGGACCTTAATGCTTTTCATATGCGCGTAGCGTGCATTTATTTTTGTCCTTGCAGAAAAATGAAGGTAACTATTCATTTTGCTTATTACTTCAAAAACAATTAAATCCAAGAGGAAGACCAATACTTGAAGCAATTTGATATGATTTAAGGTTACTTTTATGTTCAGTTTTAATTGTGCAGTGTAATTCTGCAGTTACAGGACAATGAAAATAAGTAGACTGTATTACTTATTACAGTCTGTTTATTCTTTAGACATAGTCTATTTATTTTCATACTTTATCATCCTGATTCATTCTTTGGAGCTGAATGCTTGGGTCTCCTTCCGTGCAGAGGGATGTTTGCTGACCTGTAGTTGGGTATTTCCAAGTGGAAATACAGATGCCCTAGTTGTCTGAGGCTCACAGTGGCTCAGATCTGGAATCCCCTCTTACACGTACAGGAGAGCCACTATCTTTCCGCTGTAATAAGGATTGAACCAAAGCTAAAAGCATGCTACTTACGTAAAGAGGTTGCCAAGTTGTACTTCTCTCAAGTGCTGCATCTTGCTGTCCCTGTGAAGAATTTTGTGGGAACTGTGTTTCCAGAGCACATAGGAACTTTTAAGTAGGAGGGTTGTACCATGTTATTTTCCCAGACTGACATGGAGTGAATGACTTTGAACTTTGTCTTGGATCTACTGTAACTACCCATTCCTGCATTTTCAGTGAAGGATGCAACTGTAGCATGAAATGGAAGTATCCATGGTGATGTGGAAATATGTGCGAAGTGGGTGGGGAGAAATGGATTGGTTTCTCTGAAGGCTGTGATGGTGTGTGATAACAAGTGAGGTGCTTATGATTGCATGAGGATATGGAGTTGTCACTTGGGTTCCTGAGTGTAGGATTACTACCTGTAATAGGTGTGCTGTGCATAAAATGGGTAGCTTGCCTAAACAGTTTCAGAAGAGTTTTGCTTTGAACACCATAATACTGATAACATAACTGTGACTCAGAAAATACTTTGTGTGCTATTTATATGAAAAATGTTACATTAAAATCTCAAGTAGCAGAATGACTGTATTCAAGTAAAAATATCTTCCTCTTGTAGATGGTGATTCTCAGTCTCTCAAGGAACATCTCATTGATGAGCTGGACTACATCCTTTTGCCAACTGAAGGCTGGAATAGGCTAGTTAGCTGGTACACACTGATGGAAGGTCAAGAGCCCATAGCACGCAAGGTACTCTTACATTGCCTACTGGGTTGAATATGATTCAGATACGTTCCTGCAAATGTATAGGAGTTGCACAAGAACTTGTTAGCAGATTGCAAGTCCTGGCCTATGATAATCATACAGACAACTCTTACTTTAGTTACTTATAGATACCTAATTTTTATTCAGGTTGTAGAGGCTTAAGTTGGTAATATTGAGAAACAGTGATGCAAAGGATAAAATACTTTTTTTTTTTCCTGAAAGTAAGCCCTCTGATGTGTCAGGAAGAACTTGCTTTAGAAGCTTGTAAGCCTGTTAATGCAAACGATTTTGTAATTAAGTATAAAACCCTAAAAGTGTATTGACTATTAGTGGAAAGCTTAGCTCTAATAATGTTAACGCTGGCAGAATAATTGGTAGTTCCTTTCCTGATAAGCACAGTCTTCTGTGTTCAGCAGCTTGCTAAAGGAGTTTTTTCTTTAAGCAAAAAGCTTGCCTCAACACAAATCCGTGGTATGGTGAATACTGTGGCCCTCTGTCAGTATGAGATACTTAAAAAATTAAATTCTTGTTTGCTCCGGCATATACCATCCTTATTATTAAGGAGATATGACATTTAACAGTTTAACGATCATAGAATCTTTTTTGTTTGCATTATTTCTTAAGATTTTCACATTAGTAATTACAGTTGCATCCTCGCTGGACTGAATTACGTAACCTTTAAAATACATTTTGGTATGTTTGCCATTTTTGAATTGACCATTAGGGCCCTAACTTTCAGTTGCAGGGAACTTTATTTTAATTCCTGAAAAACTGCTGAAAGAATATTATGATTAGAATTTATTTTGATATGATTTCTGGTATAATACAATTTTATTTTTTTTTTTGCTCCTATGACATGAGTATGGTGCATGCTGGCCACTTACTTGAAGTGCATTCCTTTCAAACAAATGCCAGATTTAGCTACAGAAGAAATTTTGTGTCTTCGAGATTTATTTGGTCAGCAATAGAAGTAGTTTGTTGGGGGTTTTTTAAAGGTTCTCTTTAATGAATAAAAGAGATCTTTTTTTGAAGAGACATTCCTGGAATGTCTCTTTCTTTTTCTCTAGTTCTGTAAGAGCTGAAATACATTAAAATGACTCTCCTTCTTTAAATATATATGTTATCAACTTGTTACTGCTTTTCCTGAAGATAGATTACAGTAAACTGAATGCTCTTCCATCATCATGGTAAAGTAAAAGTTCTGTAATTTTTTCACTTTGGGGGGGAAATGGAAGGAGAGAAAAGGGAAGTTAGAGTAACTTGCCTTCTACTTGGAAGGAAGTAACTGGAGTAATTTGGAGTCTATGAGTGGCCAGGTAAACTGCCATAGCTTCGTTATTTTCTGCCGATATGAACAGTTGTTATCCTCCAAGAGGTGCATTGCTGGTCCAGAACTTTTCTTTTTGATGCTATTGTCATTTGTTTATGATTCTTTTCTTGCCTGCCTTAATTTTGTTTTTAATAGAAGTGGGATGATATTTTTCTTTTGTCCCCTTTGTTGCATCAACTTTTTTAGGAATGTGGATCCAAATTTTAAATTGACAGTGTTGTGCTTGATCCATGTCAAATAACGTTATGCCTTTATGTAATAGGATGTGGTAATACTGCCACTACAGTGTCAGTTTTATTCTCAGAGGTGTCTTAACCGTACTGCACGGTTTGTTTACTGCAACTATTTTGTTGTTACTCTAGTAGCTGAAAACCCTACTAAGCTGCTTAAATTAAGATGCATTTTTATTTCATTGTCGTGGCTGGTAGTCGTTAAAGCTAAGGCAAACTACTGAACAGCAATGAAATCATTCACTAATTTTTTGTTTTCCTATGGCACATGCATACAAGTTATATTTGTACAGCAGATAGCAGATCTCTCCTAGCAATTAGCTGGTGGCTTTTTTTTTACCGTATTTGTCAGATGTATCACATATCAGGCCAATGGTTATTTTTGGAACAGTCTACATGACTAAGTACTGCAGTTACACTTTGGAGGATCAAAGGGAAAAACATTTAAGAGGTGACCCTGAATATTTTTTTCTACATTTTACTTTTATAAAAAAAATTCCTATATGCTTAACTATTTTGTAATAGGTGTTACAAAAATGAACATGTAATGAACAACTGTAGTGAGTAGGTGAAATTTCAAATGAATGTATTCATTATCAGAATATAAGTGGAAGATTTGTAGGTTTTGTTTAAAAATGTGATGTCCAGATTTTATTAGCATGTATTCTGTTTTTGATAAGTATTTTTTAACTGAAAACTAGTTCTTCATGTTTTGAGGAAGTATCATGCAACAAATGTATTTTGAAATAAAAATAACTTCTGATGTTTTTTATATTTTGATCAAGAATCTTGTCTTTTGGTTAACTATGCATTTTTGTGATTTCCACTGTACTTAACACTTTGAAAATCATGGTGTTATTGTTATACACAGGTTATACATCATCATCATCATCATCATGGGAAAAAAATGGGGCTTTACTGTATTTCTAAAAAGTTATAGGAGCATTTTTAGTTCTAATTTTTGGCACTTATTAAGTGTCTTGCGTTCCCTGAACTTCAGTTTCTTGAGGAGTTCTCAAAAATATTTTGAAGTGTGTATATGAAAACATATTTGGACTGATACCTGATCCCAATCTGTTTTTCAGGTCGTTGAACAGGGTATGTTTGTAAAGCACTGCAAAGTAGAAGTTTATCTAACAGAATTAAAGCTTTGTGAAAATGGAAATATGAACAATGTTGTCACACGAAGATTTAGTAAAGCTGATACAATAGGTATGCACAACTATTTTTAAAAATATATGTTTGTTATTTGTTTAAATAGTACTTGGTAGCAAGTTCTGAATAAATAAGTCTCTAGGTAAAATGATAGATGGGTATTGTAACCATTAAAAAGGATGGGACTAGTCTTGTTTAGGTCAAAATTGAAAGTTAAACAATTTGAAATATTTAGGATTTTTAATACAATTTTTAAAAACTAATAATTGTGCGGTTCGGTACCTAGGCATGTGTGTTAACTCTAGAGATTTGCGCTTTTCAGAAAGCGAACAGTGTGATGTTTTTCATTATCTTTATTGGATTCCATAGTACTTTTTCTTGGGTTTTGGTGTGTAAGAAATATATTTGTTTCATGTGTTTCCATTCATGTCTTTCATTTGCCAGCACTTTAATCATATGTATAAAGAGAAAGGTATATTACAAAACACAAGAATGAATTTAATTTATAAATTACTGGCTAAAGGTGACCTACAAAGTCAGTATTCTTTGGGTTGCGAAGTGGCAGGCAAGGCAAGGCACACTTTTTTCAGTAACTAAGTCCTGTATTAAACCTTCAACTTATCTTTATTTGTGAGGTTTTTGCCTGCTCTTTGAGCATTATGTCATTGTTTGAAACCATATTTTGATAACATATTTGTCACTGAAAATGACAATCGAAACATATAGAATGATACTGCTGATCATATAAACTCAATTTTTGGTGTATTTGTGCATGTATGTCCGAGAAGTCTTTCAATCAACTGTATGTGTGAAGTTAGAATTGTACTTTATGCCCAGCCGTTACACTTTGTTTACATTCTTTGACAACAATGTATTTTTCTCAGGTTTTGCTTCTCTTTACATTATGGGTAGTGACTTACACTTGCTACCCTTTAATTCTTTGCAGACTGCTTGATTTAAAAACAGAATCATTTTACTTCATTGAATTTTAGTCTTTAAGTTAAACACGTAATCATGTGTTTGTATTAGAATAAAAAGTTAAATATGGTGAAATTTGTCCTCAAACAAGGCAAAATAATGACAGTCATTCTCTTGGGGTAGTACTGGAGACATCTAATGTGTTCCTTGGACCTTTGTGTGAATCTCTTAGAATTGAGTACTCTCACCTTGAAGCCAGTGCATATTAACTTTGAGACTGATTGATGACTAACTCTTTGTGGGGGGATGGGGGTGGGGTTTTTAATTCTAAAAAGAAAATGAGTTAGACAATAGATGTAGTTCAGGCAGCATTTCAGTCTAGTTGTTGTTGGTGGTCCTTGAAAGCATCAGGGCTTCTGAGTGAAAATAAGTTAATGATCCATTCAGGAGTCTTAATCATATGGAGGTATGATAAAACTAGATCATCAGCTAATGTGTAGGCCTTTTCTACCTTTATTCAAGAGTTTTACAAGCCATAAAATGCCAGAAAGACTGTCTATAGCCACTGTTATGGATGAATAGGAGTCAGGTTGTGTCTGCAGTGCCATAAAAGAATTCAAAAACTAAGCTGATAAACTTTATCTCAAAGATAAATCTTTGAGAAGATTTTACCAGCAGCCCTGCATCTAATGGACTTTCGGACTTTTACCAGTAAAGTACTTAGGCAAATGGCTTTGAATTGGCTTTCCCTTTGATTTGCTGCAGAATACAAGAATGTAAAACTTGCCACCCTTGAGGACGATTTGTTCTGGGTTCTGTGACTAGGCTTTCCCTTCTTTAGGAAGCTGGGATTAATATTTTACTACTGTTTCTTTAGCCAGTATTTGTGATAGCACTAGCCTTTAGGAGCCAGGGTCTGCTTCTGTTAGGATCCACTGAACTTCTCCAACATTTCATCAAGACTCTTCCAAATAGTCTTGCAAAATAATACTTAAATCATACAGCTGTTTTTTTGGAGGAGCTACCTTGGTTTTTAATGATACAGGATATATCCTATACAGGATTCATAACCTTTAACTCTTGAATTGAAGCCTCTCCAATTGTGGCTATATAGCTGATGGAGTGAGAGGCATCTTTAAAGGGCAGTTCTTCCTTTAGACATCATCCTAGTCCTAGTCATCTCATACATGGGACGCTTATAACCCTATAAGAACCCCATGCACAGTATGCCTCAGACCATACCTATTTGAATGTAATGTTTTTGTTTATACTGAAACGGGCACTTTCACTTCAGATCATAAGCCAGCACTTCAGATCATAAGCAAGCCCCTTGCTTGCTGAGGGGCAGGGGGGAAGAAGTGTGCATTGGTTACGTTCATGGAAGTATGTGAAAGAACACAGTCTCAGAATCAGCATAATAGTCAAGTGGAACATGCTTTTCCCAAAGTCTTAGCTATAATGTGTGGTCATCTGACAGGGTTGATGCTTCCCGTCTTATAACTGTTCTGTTAATGAAGCTGGAATATGTTAAAAATTAACATAATGAATGTTAACTTAGTACTTGCAAAGAATAAGAGCTGCAATGCTCAAATAATTAGTTGTCATGGCATTAATAAGATAATGAAAAATTACGGTTTGTGAATTCTTTTAGTGAAAGTCATTGATAAATCTGGCTGGGTTTTTTTTTAAGATTATTGCAGACTGGATTCATTTTTACATTTAAATATAGTTATTTGAAATAATTGGTTGAGAGTTGATTCAGACAGTACATGATTTTTTTTAAAAAGTCAACAAATCAAGTAACAGCCTGGTGCTTTGTTTATAGCACCCACCTTGCCTACATATCATCTCTATTACAGAAGCAGATGATCCAGTCTAACACTTGCTTTCATAGTAAAATGTGTGTTAACTAGTATAGAAGGAAATTATATTCAGTTGCCTTACAATATCTACAAATATTGTATTGGCCAGTTGTGCATTTTACAAGCCAACGGCTGGATTTTTACAAGGTACTTCTAAGCTTCAGGTCTCATTTTGACTTTTCATATTTAACATAGTGGAAGAGAAAATAATAATCTTAAGTAAAAGAAAGCAAGGGTAATGCTAGAGGAGTTGACACACTGGTGTTTTATCCTGAGACTTCAGGGGAACGTATCTCCAAGAGCTTAATGCCTGTGTTTATAATTGTGTTTTCAGTGATCATCAGGAATAAACCGTACATTTCTTAACTCCTTTTTAGTTCTCTGCGTTAGCTGTTACAAGACTTGGCTGCCGTGGAGCTTTATGAGTGCATCAATTAAAAAGAAAAACAACTAACTGAAGTTGCTATGGTATAGCACCGTACATACTGGTTCAAATTAAAGAACTCTTTAATAAATTCTACTTTTGCATAAGGAGAACGGAGTCAAGTATGAACTTAAATTCCAGTTGTAAACAATAGTTATCCTACTTTAAAATTACGTAACACCGATTAAATTTCTGTCAGGTAGAGTAGGCGCTGGTAGACCTTTTTATGTTAAATCTTTCGGGGAGTTAAAGTCTTTAATCATCCTTTTAAAATAAATTTATGCGCTTTAGTTTTGCAGAGTAGTCTTTAATTTCTGTGAGTGTGAAAATTAAACTTTATGCAAATATATTTTGGTTAGCGCTAATTGCACTGAGATATGGATAATAGAAGAGTGAAAACCAAAAAGGGTTTGACATAGGGAGAGGAACAGAATGACTTGCACTCCCTCCACTTTGTTTTTCTGTCGGTCTCACTTCTAATAATTGCCTCCCCACACACATTCCTGTGTTACCACGCTCTGAGAAATTAGTAGATGGGTACCTAGGTACCTTCTGTCGTCTGTTATTTATCACCTTGTCTTTATTCGGTCTGCTTTGCAAGAGATTCAGGAGGGAATAAAATAGTCCTCTGACTGTTTCCATTTTAAAGGCAAGCAAACTAGCAACTTCGTGCTTGTCCTACAACGTGATGTAGTTGCATGGCTGTTTCTAGAGTTTCATTCATATTTTAAGAAAAAAGTAGGTGATTCTGGTGCTTTATTTGGCTTTATACTGTTTATGTAGTGAAATGCTAAACTTGTCTTCTCTCACTTTCAAAACAGATACAATTGAAAAAGAGATAAGAAAAATCTTCAATATTCCAGGTGAAAAAGAGACCAGATTGTGGAACAAATACATGAGTAATACTTTTGAACCTTTGAATAAACCAGACAGTACCATACAGGATGCTGGTTTATACCAGGGACAGGTAAAGTGTAGTATTATTTCTTGGGTTTATATGTTTATTTTTTTGCTTATGAAAATGTAGCTGTACCCAATGAATTTTCCTTCTTTTTAAATAAAAATTCCTCACAAGAGATTGTGGTAGGGATAGAAAATTTTATAAACAAATTCATTGAAATAAAAGTAGACCTTGAGTGTCTTTTCAGGATTAAAGATGAGTTTAACTCTCCAGGTGAATTAAAAGCGAATGAACGTAACATGGCTGACTTGAATTTGGTAAAAAATTAAATAGAAAAATATTCCTAGGATCTGGGATATGTTCCTATAATGAAACCCAAAATTTGGAGAACATTTTAGGTACTCTAAAAGAGTAACATCTTCTAATCAAATTCCACTGTCCAGATTTCAGAAAGAAGTTAAGAAAAAATGAAAAAAATTCAGATAAGAACTATAGAGACAGAAGGGCTTGAAAACCTGCTTTAGTGTGAGACAGTATCATCACTTTAAAATCCCTTTATGGGAGGATTTCTTACAAGATATTTTTTTTGCCTTTCCAGATGATATAAAGAACAAATATTGGATGTTAAAGCTACACAAATATAAATGTGAACTGATTGGACAATTTCTTCATTAGAATAACTTTTCAGACTATTACATTGATTCTTTAGTCCTCAAATAGAGTTGGATGTTTTTTCAACAGCTGTAGTTCATGCTGTCGTGCTACAAATATGAATGGATGAAATTTGATGGCAGTCATTGTAGGCAAGATTATATTAAAGTATTTCCTTTTGCCTTGAAATACTTGACTCTAACCTGCTTACCAGCAGTATTTGTGCTGTGCTTCAGTTTTCTTTTATGGCATGGAAGGTAAGTAACAGTGCACCAAAATAACAACTTGAACTATTGTGCCCTTTAGTTTCAATGCTGCACGCGGTTAAACCCTCACACGGGTAATTTTAACAATGCAGAGGTCCTGCTGGAAGAGCCCACATGTCCCAAAAAGATTTGTGTCAAACATGTAACTTGCTAATTGCTTCTATCCCAGTGAAACATTAACTATGAAGCAAGCATGGTCTAATAGAGCCATAGAAAGATCTCTAGGTGACATCTGTACTTTCAGCAAAACAAATATTGTTCGAAACAGAGTTTAACCATGATTTCTGAAAATGCTAAATGTCATGGTAGACCATGTGTGTTTAGTCAGTTCCACCTGCTGACACACAAGGTTGTTGTTTTTCTCGGTGACCCTCCTAATCTAATAATAGTTATTGTGACTATTACAGTCTATCTAGCCTATTAGTTATTTTTTACTGTGTAATTCTGAAGTATGTATGTGATTGAGTAACTTAACTGTTTTGAATTTATCATTTGATTTCTGAAGTGAGCCTTTAGGGGTTCCATTGAACTTCTAAGTCTCAATCTTCCTTTTATTTAGTAGTCTCTGAGAGCCAATGGAAGGAAATAGGGCAGAATCCGTCTTACAGCATTCATGACCAAAGATAACAGACTGCTCTTGTCCAGATGGAAAGCTGGTCATGACAGAAAGCTGATTTTCAGTGTCACATCTGAGTGTATTCAGACTGGAAATGTGATTACATCTTGAAGTGGCAGCATGACTTATGTATAAGGTTTTTTGAGCATAAGTACGTATGTGAATGTATGTCACTGTGTAGACAAATACAGGCATAGCATGGCAGCTAGTTAGCATCCTGAAACAGCAGTGTGCAGTTATGCAGAATTAGTTGCCTTGGAAATTAAGAGTTAGATTCAGTTTAAAATTTGGAGTCTAGTTGCCATTTCAAATGATCTGGGTATCCCAGCTGTCAGTCCAGAAAGGCATGAGCTTTTTGTGGGTCCTGTGTCATATCTGCCAGCATAGGGCAGATATCTCAAATACCCAAAGGCATTTCAAATGGCACTTGATGCCTGTGTTTAGGACTGAGTGTTCTGTACTCCCTTTTGTACCAATAACAACTTGAATGAAATTAATTTAATTAGCCAACTGTCCCATTGGGAAAATAATGTTAGATGAATGATTTTGCAAAACATACAGGAGTAACCAGACAGGTATGATTTTAAGGCTATCAGGGCATAAAATTGTTTGATTTGGGTTTTTTTTTTCTACTGATCTGTGTTGTGTGCAAAGCAAAATTCCTTCAGGAATACCTCTTCCTTGACAGGGCTGTTGTATAGACACGTGATTTCTGTAGATTCATAGATACTATTTAGATATTGCAGGTCATCTTCTGACCTCTTTGAGAGGTAATGTCTTGCCATTTTATCCATTGATTGTTGAGGCATAGACATATTAAGTGGCTTGCCCAAAATCGCACAAATTAAGATGTGGGGAGAAAAAAGTTAATAGAGCAAGAGGAAGGTACAGAGTAAGTGAATGGAATATTCTTGAACCTTGGGGAACAGTAGCTTAAACATCAGTCTTTTCTGTCTCAATCACATGTCAGAAAATGCGTTAAAAAGATTGGAAAAGAAAGCAGTCTACTGATACTTTTATTTCAGTTTTCTCATTACACTTTTTGTGATAGGTACTGGTGATAGAACAGAAGAATGAGGATGGAACGTGGCCAAGAGGTCCTTCAACTCCTAAGTAAGTTGTGAATTTAAGTCATGTTGTTCACTATAGCTTAACTATTTTCACATGTTATTTTTCTTTAAAAATTGGTTTTAAAAGTGGCATTTTATTTTGAAAATCGGCCTTCAGGTGTTTTAGCTGAAAATATGCCAAATAGCGTATTTGTTCTAAGTGCTGCACATTGTAGAACATGACATAATAATGATGAATCCCTGCATATACATTGCTTAATTTTGTTGATTTCAGCCAGTGATATATGTTACCCTGCTTAAAAACAGAAAAAAAAAAAAAATCCCTAGTAGAAAACTGTAAAACTCAGCTTATTTTATTTAGATTTCTGTTTCAAAGTGTAGCATATCTGTTAGGTGAACACAGATATATGTATTTTATCAGAATTTTTCTTAGATGTAAATATTTTCATGGATAGTTTGTCCTTTTATCTCCGGAGGTAACATTTACACAAAGGCATTATTTATTTAAGTTGCAGTCTACATTACCAGCTTGTTGCTTTTGATCTTTGTTGGGCTGTCATCAATTAACAGAGCACAATGTTCTTTTCAGTTCTTCTTGCTGACATTATCAACAGCACCTTGATAATGGCAAGTGAGTAGAAAGACTTGAGTGTGGTTTTTCTCATTTGGATGGACAAACTTCTTTTAGTATTGCTTCCAGAATCTAAATCATGTTCTGTTCGTTCTGAAGAACATTTAGAACTAGTTACTAGTAAACTGACACATTCTCAGCCTTACAAATAGTTAACACTTTTTTTTTCCCCTTTATTGCTAGGTCTTGAGCATATTTTTCATAAAGACTTCTTTAAAGTTCCTTTTATTCCTTTTGGTATTCTGCATTCATACAATTGAGGTTCACTGCTGTTTTAAAACATTTTTGTAGTATCATTGCTTATCATTTGAAGGACAGAGATTCTTTATCTTTGGTATTTTATCTCAAGCACTTTTATTAGGAGCACTAGCTTCTGTTAATTTGCTTAATGAAGTCTGGGTTCAATTTAAACTTAGTATGAACAGTATAATCTTGCTTAGCAAGATGTTATGACACAAAGAATTGAGAATGTAGAGTAGCAGAAAGAATGGGATGCAAGATACTTAAAGTTCAATCTCTGACCTTAAGAAGCATCTAGTAGAAATGTAAATTGAGACAATTTTAGATGTAGATTTTGAAGGTTAAAAGAATTTAGATAACTCAGTGTCGTGGATTCTTTTGGCAGTTTTGGTAGGAAGATATTTTTGGTGATGTTACCTGCTTTTATTTTGCCAAACTTCCATGCTACTTCATGGAAGGCATTCAGGAGCAATATATAAATTACAGAATATCTCCTGGAAAATGTTTGATCTGGGGACAAGTGAAATGGTAATTGAGAATACTGGTGTATGAGGAGGCTGTACGTAAACAAGCAAATGAGGATGAATAGTTTTACTGCGAAGTTGGGGTATGTTTTTGAGGTTTGGCAGCTATCAGAAAGACAGCTGAAATTTGGTATTCAAATGCGCTGTAATAATGGAAGGTTTGCAAAATTTAGTGGATTCAAATAGAAACTATACAGTCAGTAACGGGGACAGGTTTTTACACCTGTTTAAAACTTCATGAAAAATCTAATAAATGTTTAAAGTGGTAGAAATATTAAACACCTTCTTTTGAGTCTTTTGTGTGAGACGCAGTAGTATTAGTTTATCATCACAAACAGTATACATCCGGATACCTTCCTACATTCTTCTCATTGGTCACACACTGGTCTCGCACTGCTTCCTCCTGAGACCACCTCTTTGTAGCGCTTGTTTTAGAAGAGTAGAAATTGTAAACGTAAATCTTGAGGCCAGGAAATAAAATGCCATGTTTAGAAAGGTCAAAATATAGAATATTGGAAAGTATGTAAGCTTTATAATGCTTGAAAAAGGCAGAATCATTTCAGAACATCAGCTAAGCTTTTCACAGAATCACAGAATACTTGAGGTTGGAAGGCACCTCTGGAGATTTAGTCCAACCCACCTGCTCAAAGAAGGGTCACATAGAGCAGGCTGCTTGGGTCCATGTCCAGTCAGGGTTTGGCATCTTCAAGGATGAAGGCTCCATGGCCTTCCCGGAAAACATATTCCACTCTTAACCCTTACTGTAAAACAGAATACTTCTATTTAAACGGAATTGCCTGTGTTTCAGTTTGTGCCCATTGTCTCTTCTCCTTTCCTTGGGAACCACTGGGAAGGATCTTGCTCCATCTTCTTCATTTCCTCCCTCTGGGTATTTATACACGTTGGTGAGATCACTCTGGAGCCTTCTGTTCTCCAGGCTGAACAGCCCCAGCTCTCAGCCTCTCCATGTAGGTCAGATGCTGCAATCCCTTGATCACCTTTGTGGCCTCACACTCAACTTGCTCCAGTATTTCCCTGTCTCTCTGATACTGGGGAGCCCAGAAGTGAACCCAGCACCTCAGAAGTATCTCACCAGGGCTGAGTGGAGGGGAAGGATCACCTCCCTTGACCTGCTGGCAGTGCTTTTCCCAGTGCAGCCCACGAGGTTGTTGGCCCAAGGGCACATTGCTGGCTTGTCTTCAGCTTTTTGTCCAGCAGGACCCCAGGTGCTTCTCAGCCAAGCTGCTTTCCATCTGGTCACCTGCCCCCCGCCACCCCAGTGTGTACTGGTGCCTGGAGTTATTCCTCCCCAGGTGCAGGCCTTTGCATTTCCTTTGATTGATCTTCATGAGGTTCCTGTTTGCCCATTTTTCCAGCCTGTCAAATTCTGTCTGAATGGCAGCACAAGCTATGTTGTCACAGTTGAAAAAGAGAGAGGGATGTTCTGCACATTTTCCCTGCTCTTTTTTGTTAGTGGAAGCATAAGACTGCTTTTGGCAATTCTTCTTTCTTCCTACTGCAGGTGATGAAAGATGGCATTTTTTTATGAGAAATATGTTAAAGGTATGAGCATCTTTTTCTGCTGCAAGAAAAGAGCATATTTACTTTGGCCAAATTGGGACCTCAGCTCAGTGTAGGAAGAAACACTTTCAAAAAACTACAGTTCTGTTTCTCTTAAAAGTGTAAGAATTGATACAAGTGAAAAGATCAGTTATCATCATAATTGTGTCTTCTGAAGAAGAAGCTAGGAAGAAATTATTTTGACATCCTTTTTATACAGGAGCAGAGACTCTTCTGTGCAACTTAGAGTTTCAGCTCTATGTCCAGGCTTGTCAGTGGTTGGATTTCTCTTATGTGTACTGTTTTTCTAACTTCTGAGTTTACTTAAATTTGGAAGTAGTTGTAACATTTGCCGTAGAAAAACCCACTAAAGTTTAATGATATATACACTATTGTCTCTTAGTGCTGCTTAAAATGTTTGTGGTGTTTTGGGTTTTTTTTTGTCTCAAAGTTTCTGAATGTGGTGTACATTCTTAAAATGTGCACATGGTCAGCCAGGCTTAGGAATAGCTGGATTTTTGGCTCTCTGAGAGGTTCTGTTTATACCAACTGTTCATATCAGGTGCTGTGATGTTTGTGGCTCAGGAAGCTTGGCTTCTGTGAAACTTTCTAGAGAGCTCATAGTGACTTCTCCTGGAATGTCTTTACTGTCATTTACTCCCAAAATAGATATTACTCAGTGTTCATTAATGGGCAGTTCTGCAGAAAATTTTCTTATACTAACTTTTCTGTGAGTAACTGTCAATGTCATACGTGTGACAAACTCATGCAAACATGGAGATCCAGGTTGCTTTGGTAGCTTAGTTGCTGCTGATGCCAGTCCTTGAATAAAGACTTGTGATCTGTGTACAGAGAGTTTTGGGTTTTTTTTCATATCTATATCCTTTTGCAGGACATCATTCCACAGTCAGAAAAATAACCAACCGACCCTATTTGAATGGTTTATTGTCATTAAGAGGATGTTTTAAACAAAGATATGAAAAAAATCTAAGATTGTAGTTAAGCAACTGTATTACAAAATCAAATTACTTGTGTTTACGGAAAACTGTACAACAATAAAAAACTTTCATCCAATCTGTGATTATAAAACTTGAGACAACGAGAAGGAAGGAGCTTAAGTTTTGAAGTTCCGTGAATTACCAAGTGAATAGCCAGGACAAGGTTTATATTAGTTTTCTGTTGAGAAGGTGTTACCTGTTTATGTGCAAATATAAAAGCAAGTTAGAGAAACATATGAAGAAGCTATTAACTACGAACTTATTTCCTTCTATTTTTACAGAAGTATTGTTTGCTGTTTTCTTAGAAAACTTAATAAACAAGTATTAAATCTATCAATCCATAATATTCTTCAAAAATGCTTCTTATATGGTAAAAAAAAACTAAGATTTTTTTTTATTAATCTATCAGTATACATCTATGTGTATAATAAAAGTATCAGGTTTAATTCTGATTATTTTTTTTAGTCTTCACTGTGGAATAAATCATCCTAATCAAATAGCTCCCTACTTTGCATAATTTACAGATGGTCTGCTGTTAACTTTAACAATTTTTGCATGTAAAAGGGAATGCATCAATAGTTCTTTTTGACCGTACAAAAATTTGAGACTGTACACATTCGTAGGGGTTTTTTTCTTCTTGTAATAGTGAATATTTTCTTGCAATATTTGTCGCATGCTAAGTTTTTTCATAATTTTTTTTTTCTGATTCGAAACTGTATGTCTTTTTATCTTGGAAAAGCACTAAAGGCTCTTACTTGACTCTCTTTTTGTTTCTGACCTGGATACCATAATATTTTTAAGAGGGAAAAAAATCGAATAAAAGATACTTAGCTATCCTTTTTGAAATAATTTAATGCTTGTGTATCCAAGTTTATTTGGAATAAATATCCATGGGTCTTCAAAAGAAAAGCTGTGTTTGTCTACTGAAATGAAAAGTATAATCTTTAACCAAGAGATTTAAAATCTGTTGGTTTTTTTCCCTGAAGCAGTTGATGTGCAGACAGATGTGCCTTTCTGCTGACTTTGCTGTAAGGTAATTGTGGAGAATAGAGCTAACTGCGGACTTACTCTGATGTCTTAAATTGTAAAA